CACTTCTTTATTAATCGTACGTATGTATTGTACATTAAAAATATTATTATATATATTTTAAATATTACATATATTATATATATTAATACTACATATATTAATATTATTTTTTTTCTTATCTGCATCTTCGATCTTTTTAGAAAGATGATCTCTTTGCTCCACTTTTTTATAAATCGTACGTATGTATTGTATATTAAAAATATTATTATATATATTTTAACATACCTATATTTTAAATATTACAAATTAAGATATATAAAATACATGTAGAATATGCAGTATGATATATCTAGGAGAAAGGGAATTTTATTTGAAACTATAATTATTTCATAACTCACGATAAAACAATCCACAAATTAAACAACTCACACAATATTTCTACTCATATGCTCTTGTCTCAGTCGTACACTTTCTAGATCATTCTTTCATTACCATGCATTGACTTCCATATATGGAATATTCTAGATTCATAAAAACTGAACATTGTTAACATGAAAATCAATTTAGAATATTCATCACAACACACGTTCATCACTCATCGATATATCTATTCTCACACTCAAACACATCCATTGCCACATATTTTTAATATATAAAATAAGATATATAAAACACATGTAGAATATGCAGTATAATATATCATAATATATTTATCTCTCTGAATGAAACGATCTTATTCGAGTTAATTAATGCTACAGCAGATGTGCAAATGCAGTTGTTACAGAGCAAAATTCAAACACTAAAGGTTCCATTAAATTCCTGTATGAACACAGGGAAGTTACTTCGTTTCTGATTCGACAGACGTAGTATAATAACATATATCTTCAAGTAAACTCGGTTGGCGTAATGAATAAAGAAATAATGAAACGAAGGGAGAAAGGAAATAAAGTGATTTTTAAGTTCACAAATTGCAACAATGTTATGCAAATGTGAATTTTAAGTCGAAACATTGAAAACAGCTTGCCCATTTTTATCGTAGCAACGATTTTACTCCGCATAATTTAATTAAACAGGATAACAAGGTAGGTACAAATGTAGTTTACATGGTGAAATGCAGTTTCAGGATAAAATCAGTATAATTTATACAACCTTATCATTCGAACGACATTTAAACGCATACAAAGTGTGTTGAATCCAGCAAGTTTCCTTAGAGGTACTATTTTCACGTAAAAGTATGAGTTCAAATATGGCAAAATCGTTCTGAATACACAAGTACTGCTATAAACAAGTTTGCAAGAAACTTTGTGCTAGCATTATTTGACGTATGAGAAAGAAAAAGATTCAACGTTATGGGGCAGGTGGGGTTGAGCCATTACACGACAATAAAAATTTTTATAACTCCGTGAAACCAGTATGGATGATTTTTACAAACGTAGACAATCTGACGATCTTTTTCGAGTATTGCGTTTCTACGAGTATTTAGTTGAAACAATGGATAAAGCATTATAAATTATATATCACTGGATTCACGGAACCCGTCGATTTGACGGATATTGAATGTTTTGAACATTTGGTAATAATTTGAGTCGACTTTGATTAGTGCAATTATGTGAATATCGCAATAGATTGCGAAGATTTTGAAGCTACAATTTTCCCGATTTGTAGACGAACACGTAGTTTCCTAGGAACGATAGAACCAATTGTAGAATAAACGTTCCTAAATCTAACGATATTAAAGGATTAGTTGAATTGTATTATTCTACATAAAACTCAAATAAATTTAATATTGATTTCTAAAACTACCGAGCATTTAATACGATTAACATGCAATTCCTATAAAAACTGTAACAATAGATTATCTTCAGTTTCTTCAGACATTCATTATAGTACTGAAATGAAACTATTTATTTTCAAAATCATTTCGAAGATATCAATAATTGCTAAACAAAAAAGTCGAAACCAGTCATTTTGACAGCTACGGTAGTTCTAGTTCAACGCGATTAAAAGAATGATTAAAAAAAGAGTATCAAACCGCTCCAAAAGTTCGTGTCGTTTATTTTTCTACCCCATAAAATAATATTTTACTAAATATCACATTTCTAGTGTTAAATCCGGTTTTATCGTTGCCCCGTCTGTTCCTCGGATAAGAAAAAAATCTAATCGGCGATGTCACTAATTTCGTGTGCCTCGAATTGCTCGGTTTAATTGTGCGGAATAGAAGAACAGCGTATAACGAGTGTCGCCGATCGATTCGATTACAAGTCACGTGGACAAGTCGATCGGGTTTCCTGTGCAGGCAGCGCGATAATGCGCATTTAATGACAAAAGTGAAGGGGAACGACGTCCCTCGGGAAGATTTTCGCTTTCACGATAGCAGACCGTTGCTATCCCTTGATATCCATGTAAATCCATTTCAAGATCATCACGCGACATTGCCGTTAAACCTGAACAAAGTCCGTTTTTACGATACCCCTACGGTATATATCGTGTCTGGTCACTCGGCATTAAAAGACGGAAGCAATCATTTTTTCCTTTGCCGCGAATGACTTATAGAAATAATGTCACA